TTTCCTGTTTGTTCATAATGCAGGACTCACAATACGGGGCCATGGTACGTGCCTTAAATTATAACTCCAGTAGAGAAATGAGAGAGAAAAGCTGCTGTAGATGACTTGTTGCAGTATTTCAGGCTGGGCTAACTGCAGGCAAATCTGGATCTTCGCTGCACAGACTGAGCAGTGCAGTTTGGAAGGCTTGCACCAAGCACTTGAGATGTATGTGTGCACTTGCCTGTTTTCTAAGGGCAGCCCTTCAGCTGAATATTCCTCAGCCTTTTCTCTCTCCACCATGCACTGGCAAAACCTTCTGGCTGTTTCAAACAGTTTGAGAGATTTTTTTGCCATTGCTTGGGGTTTCTGTTCTGTTTAGCTGAAATAATTTTAAGCGGCCTATGGTGGTTTTTTTGAGGAAGAGAAATTAAATGGATGGAAAATTGCATTATTTGATAGTGTTTGCAGTCTATGGCCATAGCAGTGTGCAATATTTGGGTCAGATTGTTTTTAAGCAGTTAATTGTCTGCCCAACTGAATGCTCAAGCATAATCAGGCTGATTATGTTCAAGCAGTTGAAAGTTCAATGTACAGTGAGAAATAGGATAGCAATTATCTTCTAAATTCCTTTATATGAGCCACAGGAGGTACTTTTGCTCAGGACAGGAATCCTGGATAATCTGTATCATCAACACAGTTTTGGTTTTAGTTCCTAACATGTTTTTGAGAAAAAAATCAGCATGCAAATGATTGAAGTCAATTTTTATGTTAATCCTCAGGCAGCTGTGAGTGGGAGACACCTGTGATTTCAGACTTCTAAAACAAAGACAAGTTCAGCAGTTAAAATTCTGAGCCCTGAAAGTACAAGAGAACTGCTTATTCCAGGTATTCATTAAAACCACATTCCAGCTCAGCTCAAAGGAAGTGCCTGTGCATTAAAAGTTTGGGGTTACATGAGGCTTTTTAAACACTTTGTTTTATTGGCTTTGAATGTATGTGATTTTTCAGTGTGATGTTCATATTTCAATAGATGTGATATTTCAATATCTGGTGTACGTACCATTGAAATCCCTAGTCTTTTATCTTTTACAATATGTTCTTAAGGAGGCTCTTTTCCAAGATGTATTTGGTGCAAGGAATATGCTCTGAATCAGGAATTTGATATTAGAAGTTATTTTCTTGGTTTTCTAGAAATGGTGTGCAGGCAGGTAAGTGAGGAAGCTTTTATGTCAAATGCCCCCAGTCTGAAGGGAAATATTTCTTCCTCTGGGTTTTGGGCAGAGGTGCCTCACTGAACACCTGGGGCTGTTGTGTTTGGCCCTTCTGGCTGATGTCACATGGATTCTCTGAGCACAGCTGAGAATTACACACGGACAGTAGAGAATTTTTATGGTCTTGAGATTGTATCTGAAATACAGAATCAACTTCTGCTTAATCAGCTTCATGATGGGTGAATATATTCAAATAACAAATATGTGTAAACATTATTTTTCTGAATCGGTTTAATTTCTTTTTCAAGCCAATCTACATCTGTTGATTTAACCTAGAAATGTAATATTTTTCCAATCAGAACTTTAAAAAACTATAATTTTTCCTGTTTTCTTGTAAAGCAATATTCTCTTCAAAAAGATGACACAAATGCTCTGTAGCACTGAGGTCCCTGTGCATTTGAATGAGTCCAATGGCACTCTCATTGTTTTGTTGGGTTAAATCACAGTCATGTGTTAATTTTATTTGGTTTGAACCACTCTGACCTGGTTCACTTGGAGTAGTCTGATAGAATTCAGTTTTGACACAAAACGGAGGTAAATTTAAAAGAAAAAGGAAATCCAAACCCTGCTTTTTGTCAGTACATCTTTATGATCTATCCTCCACAAGAGGCTCATGCTCCTCTGATAATGTGGGATGATAGCTAATGGGGGAATTGTTCTGCTGCTGAGCTGATCATAAAAACAGGAGGAGATGAATGAAGTCATCAAACAGGTTTCAAACAGCAGCTTTTATTTCACAGCACCTTTAGGGCAGTGCTTCAGAAAAACTCTGAAATCTTGCTGCAAAGCCTCAAGATGCTGAAGAAGTAAATTGCTTGAGAGGTCTAAACCCAGCACTTGTTCTGTGTTTTCTAGACTGTTCTTCACTGTTTTCTGAATTCTCCATGCTGATGGCGCGTGCCTTGGTAACAGTAGGTGATGGCTGGTTGTGTGGAATTTTTCCCTGAAATGTGTAATTTAACCATTATCTGTGATAGACACAGACTCCTGTTGGTAGATATTAGTTCAAGGGAGACATCCATCCTCAACACCAAGATTTTTTGTTTAAATGGGGCATTCCTCTGCAATTTCACATTATCTTATGTTCTCCTTCCTCACCTACTTGTATTTCAGATGGGTGATCTTTCTTCCTAGAAATTAATTTCCCAGAGTCCTCTTATTATTTCTTCAATTTGGGGATCTGCTAAGCCTAAATGACCACTCTGACATGGGGGTTCCCATCTGTTCCAAAGCTTTGTTGGTTTTGGTTGAGTACAGGTTTTATTCAGTGAGGAGGAAATGCCTCCTGAGAATCATTCAGGGGCTACCCCAGCACCTACAGCAAGAGCCCTCCCCTTCTGAGCTGGAAGGATCTCCCTTCCTTCCAAGAGAGCCCCATCTGAAATTGTTTCCCCACACAAACCCTGCCCTGCATTCTCCATCTCGCTGGACAGGCTCCAGCACCTGCTGTGGGTGGCACAGCTGTGCTGAGAACACCAAGTGCCCCCTGTTCTCAGTCACAAAGGCACTGGCAGAGACTAAATGGTCAAAAGGAAATTCGTTAAAACATCTTGATAAGTAAAATAGCAACAATCGTGACAGCCAGATGGTGTTCACAGAAAGCTTGAAAGAGTTAATCCCTGTTCTGTAGGCTGCTAGCAAAAATATGCTTGCTATATTTAAATGAAGGCAGTTTACTGAAGAGTTTCAGAGTAAATAGAATTTTCTTAAAACTCACTGCCATAATTACATTGAAAGAACTGTGGGCCAGGTAATTCTGACCCAAATAACTTGGTTCAAGCATTAGGTGCTTAGCCCAAATGTTCTTCCCTTCCTTGTCTTTCCTGATGACTCTTTTAGCCCTTGTGGCTTCATTTGGTGAAGTATTTGATAGAAGATTTTAATTCAAGTATCAAAGAAAAGAATAAAGCCGCACTGGGCAGTAAGCTGCAAACGAATATATTTTAGTGTTTTATAAATTGCTGCTCTGAGCCCTGATCTCAGTGACATCCCCAATGGTTTCAGCTGAGCCATGGCTGCTTTCACTACCAGATTTCAGTTTTAAGTGGCTGTGAACAACTTCTTCATGCTTTAAGACAGCTTTCTGTGTTTTCACCTTTAAAATATATTTAAAGACTCATTAAACAATTCTTTGAGAGTTCTGCTACAATAATTCAGATGCTTTTGGTGCATTTTTTCTCCTGCCACATTTCCTCTTGTTTTAAAAAAAGTGGTGTCGTTATTCCGTTTTCACATTTCCCACTGAAATCAGTGAACTCTGCAATGAACTCTGCATTTCTTGCAATTAAAAAAAAACCCTAAACCATCAGCAGGGAACTCCAACCATGCCACATCTTCCTTTCCATAAATGAATGTGAGTTTCTCTAATTTACTCTTGAACAACTTGCAAGGAGAAGGAACTAAAAGAAAAAGGCAATGGCTGATCCTTCTTCCTTTTCTTCAAAGGAGAGGACAACGGGATTTCTGATAGATTTTCCCTTGGAAGACAAATGAGAACATTCCAAGCTTTGTGGATTGGAAATCAATGTGCATAAAGCAAGAAAAATGGGCAATGTTGTCAAGCCCAGAGTTTGCACAGGCAGTGAATCCAGACAAAATGGGCCATTTTCCCATCTCTGTCTGAGCTGGCAAGCTCCAACAGAACTGGCTCCATCTGTGACTGCCCCTCCTGCCCCAGCACATGGGGTCTGTGCTGCCTTAGACTGGCCCACCTGTATCTGAGAAAGTTCTGTGCAGTTTTTGGTATTATCCTGTGTTCTGTGGGGTTTTTAACGTGTGGTCATCACTAGCACTTTTCTTCTGTACATGAAATGGTTGCCCACACTTTGTCATATTTTAAATCTTTCTTTTCTAGAACTTACCCATAACTTCCCTCTCCTTGCTACAGTGAAGTTCCATAATGGCAGCAGTATTAGGGAAAATATTTGTAGCCAAGTGCATCTACCTAACTCCAATAGACTTCTGTGGTGATGCACAAGTCCCACAGGTAATTTTAGGACAGAGCATTAATTGTTCTTTTCCATCAGGTACGTGACATCAGCAAGATTTTGTACCAATCCATTGTGCTTTTTAAGTATGAAAGTGGCTCTTGGAATCCTTACCCATTCTGTCCTGGCATATTCCATGTGTGGAATGTAATTAGGTTTATTTGGAGGATTCTACAGAATGTCTGTGAAGGGAAAGTGTGTGGGTGGGATCCTGGCCCTGTTAGAAGAGATGAGAAGTTTCCATTGCCTGGAATGAAGTTCCGGATTTTAACTGGGGTTTTGTACACATGAGGTAGGCAGCAGGCAAAGCTCCTCAGTGATGGCTATTTCTTATCTCAGAGAGAAGTTGTCATAAGAAATAAAGTATTTGGAATCTTCTGATGTGTACATGGTTGTCAATTCTCAGAGTGGCAAAAGAGCTACCACTTGAGTCAGTGAAAAATCTGGATGGTTGTAGCAAGGATAAAGGGTACATCTTTAGGAAATACTCCTTCTAGTCAAACTGAGCAGGATTTCTGGGCACTGAAGCTCTCATTCTGTATTGGAAAATGTGTTTCTTCATTTATATGAGATAAGAATTTAATGGAAATCTCTTTATCTCTTTCCCTGGAGAGGAAGTTCTTTCATTAGTGCAGGAGTAACTGTAGTTTAATTTTAAAGGTTTTTGCAGTCAAATTATTCTAATCTGCCAGAAGATTTACCTGGATATATAGGAAGACATTTCCTATTCACATTCATTTGAATAACACCAAGTCACACTATTTTCTTACCTAATCTATGAAGCACTATTCAGTCTAAATCCCTAAAATTGCACTGCTGCCTTAAAATGTTCACATTGTACAGGAAATCAGAGCTGGGCAAAGTTCTGGACTCTTCTCCATGGAAACAGCATCACTCATTATTCCTGGGATAGTGAAGATTTTAAACCAAAGGAGCTCTGCCCTTTTTCAGTATCCCAGTTAGGCTGGAAAATTTATGGGATGATGTATAGATAATCAGTCACTTTTATTTCTTTGCTTGTAAATAATGCTACAATGAGCTCCACAAATTGAGTTCTATTCTCAGCTTCTCTTCTGTTGTCAAAAGAATTTAAAATCTGCCAAGCAAGTAAAGCACACCTGGCTTCTTTTGCCTTGAGTCTGTAATAACTTTGCTCAGTCTGCTGGCTGTGCCACTCTGAAATGAATGACACTTGTTTTTGCAATAGAGGAGAGTATCTGTTGATAGTATACCATCTTGTCATCCATTGCAAAAACATTTGTGGCTGCTGATAGCTCTGGAGTCTTGAATTTTGATTAAGGAGTTCAATTTTGAAATGACTGCTTCCCACTTCTCTTAAATTTCCTGTTACAAAAGCCTTCCATGCAATTTGATTTTAGTTTCCTTTGATCACCTTCATCAGTTAAAGGTAAAAATGCAAATCTGTCACTAAAAGTCATTTGGAAAGGAATAGAGATTATGAAATTACATGTCCACATCTAGAACCACGTGTGCAGTTCCAGTTTCTTTATCTCAGGAAGTGTATCAGAAGTAGGGAACAGTTTCTCCTTTGTATGTAGGACATGGATATGTGTCCATGTGAAGAGATTTTTACTGACATTGAGGGAACAGGAGATGGGAAATGAGCAAAGAACAAAACTGGAGGCAGACTGGAGTGCAGAGTGGGGCTGGTGATATGCCAAGTCCAGAAATGGGGAGGCTGTGTTGTTAAATAAAGTCACATCTCTCCCAAAGGACCTTTGAAACAGAAGTGACCACATTTTTGTAGCTTTCTATGAGTCACAGAAAACAGATTTCCATCAAATCCTGCATGTTCTTTCATGAGTCTGAGGTTCTAGCATGTGTCTCATTCCTGTTTGCTGCTTTGGCCAGTTTTGTATGTTTTGTTGCATATTTTGCTGCAATAATCTCAAGATGGAAATGGCAGAGATGGATACTGCAAAGATGATCATCACAGCAGGCAGCTGGTAAGAGACAGCACATGGGAATGAATAAAGAGCCCAGTAATGATAAGGAGAGAACTTAAAAAGTACCAGAGAAAAATACCAGCACACACAGTTCAAACCATGGGGACATCAAAGAGGAAAGCAAATCCATTGATGTTTTCCAGCTGTTGCTGTTCTAATTTAATTTAATTTAATTCTCTACTCCCAGTGTGTATATGAAAATAGAGTATCTGGCACTGGCAGAAATTTCCTTTGCCTGTGTTAAACATTTGTGTAAAAAAAAAAAAGTCAATATTTTTCTGGACTGTGTTGTACTAATTTTTAAAAAATATATTTGTTTCCTTTAAAGGGGAAAAGTTAGGTTTTACTGAGTGATCAGACCAGACTCTATTATCAACATTGCTAAGAAAGAATCAGTCCAAGCTGAATTTAGTGGTAAGGGAACCTAACAGTGCTGTTTCTCTGGTAACAGAAAAACTGTGCAGAGATTAATGTGTTCGCAGGCTAGGCCATTAACAATCTCTTAGTGCAGTGTAGTTTTGCTTTGTTGCTGATATCTTTTTCTCTGATCTTCTCACTGGCTTTCTAAATTCTAGTGAAAAAGAATCTTTTTTCTTTCACAGATAAAATTGTTCTTCAGCTGTAAACAAAATGAGGAATTTTTTCTGGATGAAATAGCCTGAAGTTTGTTGGTTTATTTCTAAATGCCACTTTGAGCTGTGACTTTGGCCTGATCAATGCATTGCTGAGCCTCCAGCTCTGTGCTCCTGCCTGGCCCCAGGTCCCTGTTTGTGTGACTGGATGTCAGCTTTGGGAAAAACCCCGGCACAGGGCTGAGGGGTGTGTGCTCTGTTTGGAGATAAAGGCTGGCAATGGGGAAAAGCTGTTACTGATTTTTGTGCTTGTTTCTGACAATAGGAAATATTTCTGCATGGCAACATGGAACAAGAATAGCCTGTTAATGGTGAGAAGGGTACTTGGATAAATAGGCCCAGCAGTGTCACCAGGAAAATGAAGCTGCTTTTTAATGCAAGGAGCAAAGTTTTGGAGATCAAGAAACACAGGGCTAAAACCAGATTTGACAAAAGTGAAACAAAGTCTGATTTTACAAAGATTATTAAAACGTGTTTTAAAGTTGTTTTGGAGCGATTCTGATGGCAGCCTGCTCCAGGATCCTCAGCTTTCTGCCCCCAGCGGCTGTTGATCCTTAAGGCCCGGGCCGTGTGTGAGGGGCCGGGCCCGGGGCCTTTGGGCTCTCTCGGTGGAGCTTTGGGCGCCTCAGGGCCCAGCGGGGGCTGCGGTTTGGCTCGGCCAGCTCGGTTTTATTGAGCCCAGCAAAAAGCTTCTCCCTTCCCGGCTCGCAGGAGCTGCAGCAGCGATCTTCCAGCAGCCTCCGGGCCGAGCCGGGGAGGGAAAGCACAGGGAGGGAGAGAGGGACAGGAGAGACACAAGGAGAGGCTCCAGCCCCGCTGCTCCGCCCGCCCTGGCTGCCGGGAGAGGAGCTGAGAGCCCCGGTAGGTGCTGGGCTCGGGCTGGAGCTGCCCTTCCCTCAGAGGGAAAAGGGAAGCTCAGTGCAAGCGCCATTTCCCTCAGAGGGAAAAGGGAAGCTCCCTGGAAGCTCCATTTCCCTCAGGGTGGAAAGGGAAGCTCCATGGAAGCTCCATTTCCCTCAGAGGGAAAAGGGAAGCTCAGTGCAAGCTCCATTTCCCTCAGAGGGAAAAGGGAAGCTCCCTGGAAGCTCCATTTCCCTCAGATGGAAAAGGGAAGCTCCCTGGAAGCTCCATTTCCCTCAGAGGGAAAAGGGAAGCTCAGTGCAAGCTCCATTTCCCTCAGAGGGAAAAGGGAAGCTCCCTGGAAGCTCCATTTCCCTCAGATGGAAAAGGGAAGCTCCCTGGAAGCTCCATTTCCCTCAGAGGGAAAAGGGAAGCTCAGTGCAAGCTCCATTTCCCTCAGAGGGAAAAGGGAAGCTCCCTGGAAGCTCCATTTCCCTCAGATGGAAAAGGGAAGCTCCCTGGAAGCTCCATTTCCCTCAGAGGGAAAAGGGAAGCTCAGTGCAAGCTCCATTTCCCTCAGAGGGAAAAGGGAAGCTCCCTGGAAGCGCCGCTTCCCTCAGAGGGAAAGCTGGTGCATCACAAGTGCGGAAGGGAGATTTCTTCAACATCTGCTGTGTTCTCTGGCATTCTGTTTTAATCAACTGTTGGGTTTGGGTTTGGTTTTTTTCCCCTCACTTTATTAGCATTTTCTGTCAGTGGAAGGGAATTGTTGAAACTCTTCAGAGAAGAGTACTCATTGCAGAGTGTCCTCTCTTTTGTCTCAAAACTGAGACACAAGTGTATTCTAATCTAGATAAAATAAAAAGAGAATAAAATGTGGGACATTATCAAAGAAAAAATTAGCAAATCATTCAGAGAAAACAGAATTATCTTCAAAACTAAAATACTGGGATTTATGAAATGAGGCAATATTTTCTTGATGACAGGTAACAAGAATTTACATCAAGAACTGAAGACATGAACTGGAGGAAATGATAGAGATTGAGAAGGACCAGCTATAAATGCCAGAAGGTACACACCAAAACAGTGAGGAAAAGGCAGATGTGGTTGTCGAGCACATCCAGCAAGGTAATTCCTACAGAAAAATATTGATACTATTGGAAAAGAATGATGGGATCTGACTTGGGAAGCCATGTACAGTCTGAGTCCCCCCCACAGGAAGGTTGGGGCTGGAGGGATGCAGAGGGAGGGAATGGAAAATGAGCAGAACAGTGTTTGATAGGCTGGCACACAGGGGAGACAGACAGACAATATTATACGCGTGTTAAAACTGCATCAGAAGTGTGGGTACTAGAGGCAGAAGAACTAACACCCTGTTTTTCAACAACTAGAACAAACACCAGTTTTTCAACTAATTGTGCGTAAATCAACTCTGAAAATTATAAGTGGGTTTCTGATCATTAAGTGTGGCAAAGTTGGCAGCAGTCCTCAAAAAAGAGCAATTGAAATAATTGTAGAAATTGACCAAGTCTGAAGTTTGCAGTAACTGAAAGGTTTTATATTTTGCTAAGTAATTGTCAATTTCTTGGTTTAGCTGCTCTCACTAGATAAATTTAACCTTTTATGAGTAGTGACTCAAAAGTTAAGCTTTTCATCTTGTGAGACTCATTTTCAGGCCCTGCAGTCAGACATGTATTCATTAAACTCTGTGATGCCTCAGAGCTACTCGTCTGCTCTGGATACCATGAATACAAACATTCACCGTCAGGTTGTTTGCAGTGTCAGCCCTGAACAAACATGCAGGAATTACCAGGTGGTTACAGTGTTTTAGGTATGACAGATCTATGGCCTGGTGTTGCTGGCTTATTATCTGCTTATTTTAAAACACTTAATTTAGTGCTGGGGGAGCAGACTCCTCCGAAGCGATAAACATCTGTTGCTGCTGTCAGCCTGAGCATTTGCAGCCCATAATGTTCTTGTCCCCTCTGGCAGCCGAAGGTAAATAAGGGAACATCGCTCAAGTGTCAGTATGGGGGGACCTGGGTGAGGAGGGGGACAATGTGTGACTACAAAATTAGGTCTGAATTCTCTTCCTGAAAACATTGTTTCTGTGGCAGTTCACATATAAATAACATGAAAATTGGAATAAAAAAAATTTCAAAATGCATTTATTAGTTTTGCATAAGTATATTTCTGATAAAACCTCAAGCAACCCTCCCAATAAACCAGGAATGAATATTGCTGCCTTGGGTCAATGCTTCCTAAACTGCAGTCAGATTTCCACTCAGTTTAGGCTGTTTCCTTTCAGCCTTTGAGTGTAAGAAGATGGTG